GCAGAATTAGCAAAACAAAGAGCAAAGAAAATTGCTTAACAAACTGTACTGCATGTATCAGCACAAAAAAAAAGAAAGAAAGAAAATTGGCTCTTGGTCAATTTGACTCTTAACCAATTTTTGTTTTCATCCCCTATTTGTACCAACGCATTCCCATTTCATCCTTTCCTATTGCTATTGTGACCCATAAACAAAGTACTGCACACCCATATACTTCAACCATGATGTAGAGGTTTAGATGTATTGTGTTTTTTATGAATTATTAGCATAAGCGGCTAAAAAAAAAGGAGCAAATTCCACATATAATTTAATGCATTCTGTACCATCTTTAAGCTTTACATAACCCTACTTTCACATTCAGGTCGTCTTAACCCAGTCGAAATGCCTAAATGCATTGACTACTCAGTAAAGTGGCCAGTGAGTTCAGGAGTTTAATACAGGCTTCGAAATATTTTATTATCTTAAAAGCACCACTTCAACACCTTTAAAATGACAATAAGTCATCATTCAGTCCAATTTTTTTTTTTTTTTGTCAAAATAATAAAAGTACTACATCAGTAAGTTGGTCCTGGTACCAACATTTTTATGAACTTGGTCTGTAACTTTGCAAGCTACAAATTTTGTATATCTGGTGTCAAATTTCTCTATTTTTCCATCAGGAAAACTTGTGAAAAATTACAATTAACTTTTAACGGATAAGTAATGAGTGTATTTTTTTGTGTTTTTACATTTAAGAAAAAAAAAAAAAACTCATAAAGGCATAAAAAAAAACACACCAAACATTATGATAGCATTAATGTGAATATTGCGTATTTAATGTTGCTCTAATGACATTTACCACAGCCCTAAATTTTGCCTCTGACAGGATGAGGCTGAAGCTCTAAATAACAGATTTAGAGATTTACTATTTGTACTTAAAGTGAGGTAACACAGCTTTGCATGGAGAAAAAGCATGCTTGTTTTTATATGTAAGCTCAATGTCATTACCTCTTTAATGCCTTCATTCCTATAAATTGGGTCACGTATGCGCGGACCTATAAATATTTATCCTTTTATCTATATCTGTTTCGCCCAGAAATAGAAATTAGGTGCTTTCAAAATTGAGAGCCCTGAGGTTGACGCTGTAGTTTGCCCAATGATTAATCCAGCTGCTTTGCTTGCAGAGGGGCACTTACAATTTATCCCCCCCCCACCCCACACACACACACAACCCTCCATGAAAGGATTGCGATACAGGGAGAAGGTGATGAAGCGGGGAAAAAAGACAAAAAGAGACAGAAAGAGGGAGAGATAAAGCAGAAAAGAGAGATGGAGGACACGAAAAAAAAGGGGTGGGGGCAGAGAGACAGAGTAGATGCTGTGATGAGGTCGGTTACCGTGGCAACAAGAGGAGCCGGCCTGTGATATATATTGTTCCCCATGAGAGAAGAGGAAGGGAGAGCAAGTTTAAGACGGAGGAGAGGAGGGAAGAGACAAGGGGAGTTAGTGGGGCGGATTGAGGACAGAGTGCAGGACTATTGGGGAGGGGGAGCAAAAAAATTATGGAAAAAATAGAAAGGAGAAAACAAGACATAAAAGGAGAGACTCACACTGGCTGAGAGGGATAGCTATTACTGGGACAGTAAAGGAGGGGGTTGGGGGGAAACTGGATTAAATAAGTCACGGTCTCTCCGGTACTTTATTTTCTGGACCGTTCATGTGATACAGCCTCATGCTGCCCCGGCTCATCCCTATTATGACAAATCTGTCTCGTTCCCGTATTATTAGGGAGAGCCGCTAGCTTAGCGGGACAGCACAAAATGAGTTGCAGGTTAATGCCCTCGCTCTGCGCAAACACGCTCGCGCTTACACAAACCGACATGCGAGCGCACGCCGACGTAGACACGCCTGGCGGGATCAAGCGGACGGCTCCTAATTAGCGGTTTGTCTCTGAGCAGTGATATTAAAACGCCGGCGGAGAGACACCTTGCACTAAATTTAGCTGCGGACAAATGGGGATATCTGAGCCGCTCTGGTTTTAAGGCACATCAATAATGACCTTAAACGTCATCCGTTTCATTTGCTCCCTTGTCATGGTTTGCCAAAAATCGCAAGTTGACCAGTCAAGCATTTCTTCTTTTGTCTGTTAGCGAATTAACATATTCTGCCTTCACATCACAGCCACTTTCTCTTAAGATAGAAGATGAAGGGGTCGGATTTTATTTCAAGGTAATTGCGTGTTATCAGATGCATTTAACTGTGTCATCTGGAGGTGAATGGAGGACGGAGCTAGATGGAAAATGCATTTTAATGCATTTTTCCTTTCACCTTGTATTGCCCTCACTTGCGTATGTCATGCCTCACTATGTGGTCATCGGCTGAATTATTGAGCCTGCTCGACAGAACAGTGAATCCAAAAACAAAACAAAAAAAATAAAAATAAAAATAACATTACATCACTCATTTGGAAACACACGAACTGCATAATAATCTTTTTTTTTTCCCTTGGGTGCAAACTCTCATCCGTAAATCATCAGTCACTATATTAGAATATAATGGAAGAATTGATTTATTAAAGCAATTCAATTTATAATCTGAATCCACAATATAGTTTAACTGTTTGATTCTTTTTATTCAAATGAATGTAATAAAAGCTCCAAATTTGGGTTTTATGGAAACGATAATAACACAGAAAACCAATTAAAGTAAAGGATTTTAATGGAGAAAAGAAGATCCTTGCATTTCATAGTACATGAGAACCCAAGTTTCCTTAACACCTGCATTGTCTCCCATCATCCTCTTCATACCCCAATACTCCATTGACAACTAAGCCCAGGCAAGATGGCTGTCGCTATCCAAATGACTATCCAAACACAGATTATTATTACACTAATGTGGCCTTCTTATTTGTATGCTGGATGTAGTTTTAGTTTGATAAAGTCAGTCACACAGATGGTATCTCCAGGTATACTTTTAGTAGAGCAATTCTACATTGGCACATGACGGCAGCCGTCCTCCCATATGAAATGTTGAAGACAGGACACATTGTCTCTTGCCCTCATTTTTAGCTTTGACCTTTTGTAGCTTACCCTCCTGATGGAGAATGTCAGATGCTGTCAAATGCCCAGCTGTCATGTTAGTAATTTCATCATTTTACAGGTTATGACTCGACCAAAGACATGTTAAAACATGAATGAATCATTCGTAGCTGAAGCCGTCTTGTCACACAACCTGTCTGATATGTGTTAACGGCCCTCTGTGACTGCTGCTACAAAGCCAGCTAACCTTTACATGTGTTAGCTGATGACGCTGTGACTAACTATCTTTTGATAGAGTAGTAAGAGAAAAGCTTCACCTCAATAGTCCGTGTCACCCCAGTCCTTTTTAGACCAACACACAAGTTAGCACGTAAGCGTTAGCTTGAATAGTTCTGTCAAAGTAGTGAGCTGTGTTAGTCTCCAGATGTATTGGCAATATATAAAACAGATGATTTCACCTTCATTGTAGACATTACATTGTACAAATGAGGTTGAAAAGTGAAGTGAGCTAGCCAGGCTTGACTTTCAAAATCTTTAAGACTAATATTAGACTGGGCCTACCAGGATTGGCCAATCTCAGTGTGTCATAAAATTGCTTCTGTAAATGTTCAGCATTTGGAGGGTCTGTTCAGATTCATCCTCAAGTCATATTTAAAAAAAGAAAATGGTCGTAAGAGCTGCTAAATATTTTTGAAAAAGTGATTAAGAAAAGTAACTTTATCCAGCTATCTGATATAAACTGCAATAAAGTGTATAACATCTTGAAACTGAGAAGAAGAGGCAAATCCCAGAAAGCCAAAGTGAGTCATGCATTTTGTAATGCCTACCAAACAAGGGCAAGAATGTGGGTCAGAAATATAACAGGATTCAACGATAGCCTCCGAGATGTGGCGTATCATCAATCAGCATGGTGCGATATAAGCTGCCAGGAGATGCAACACGCCCGTTAGAATGCTAAAAAGCAAACAGAGAAAGTAAAAGATGCAAAAAAGAAAAGATGCGTCAGTGCAATAAAGAACAGCTGGACAATATCGCCGAATGTCTGCAAAGCAACAAATTGATGCAAATGCTTGCGTCGTTTCCCTCTCATCTTTGAAGGAAAAACATTAAAATACTCTTTCCTCTTTCGTCTGTTTGTTTTTTGTTTTTGTTTTTTTCTCCCCTCTTGAACACAATTGCTTCTAGGCACAGAAATGACATGATTTATCATTTAATGACTGCTCAGGTTTGGCTCATTTAACTCCTCATCTGTATGGAAAACCTCTTGGTTAGCAATATCACCGCTCATATAATCCATCATCCGTGGCCTGAAAGATAGGCAGCCATTGCTGTGCAGCGCTGGTGCTGCTCTGGGCCATGCCTGAAATACGAACGAGTTTAAAACCTTTGGATCATCCCAGGAATATTTCATTAATTCATCTATTATAATTTTCTATATTGACTTTCGGACTGTACACTCAGTGCCCCCCCATCCCCTCCCTCCATTTTCACTGATAATGTATGCATATGGCTTATCGGCGTATTTGCTTTAGGATATCTTCAAGCATGACGTCTGGTGGAACTGCTCTTTTAGTGCAAAATATTAGAAGAAGTCCAAATGCTGCCCCCTGAACCTTATACCAGACCAAGAAATGGGAATTAAAAATCGAGAAACACAGTCCCTCCTTTTCCCAGGTCTCCTCTCCACCCAAAGGGACATGGGTGTTCCCACCAAAAATTTCAGTACAAATAGTTTGCTTATATCCTTGGATTACTTGTTAAATAAATCAGTACTCTTCAAAAGTTTAGCTTAATTGTTTTTGTCTTTGGAAATGAACAAACGCCCCTGCTCAGAATTCAATCAGGTACTTCAAGACATAAAAAAAAGTTTACACACCCACAAATCTCATTTTTTTTGTGCTTTAGCTAGGACTTTATGTTTTCCATCTCTTTTGTCTGCTCCATCATTCATTTCTTCCATAATGGCACCACGAGTGCAATTTTCACCCCTGCCTCCGAGGTCACAACTTCTCCTCTCCCGATGGATCACACCGTGGAATTATAAAGACGGTGTCACAACCTTCCTCGCCAAACCGTCAACAGTTGCAGGAGGAACATTAGTCAATATTAGCAGGAGGAACCTCAAACAAAATGCCGGCTGCCCTCGGCGGCTGGGTGCACAGGTAATGTCCGCCATTTAAAGAGAGTATAATGGTGGAAAAAAAGCTTGGTGTGACTGTCCCTCTCCATCCCGACCCTTTAAACACGTCCCCGTTGTGATTGCTTGATGCAAATGCAGAGCGCCATGCTCGTTTCACTTTGGTTTCCATTGCACTGAGCAAAGATTGGTTGGCTTGTCGGAATGGGAAATCGGCCTTTAATCATTTATGATGACCGTGTCTAAGTCGGGTATGCCCTGAAGTGGTCTGTCTCTCCCTCTGATGGTGACTTTCTGCTTCTGCCTATGACAGTCGGTGTCTTCCCTTGTTTCTCACAGTGTAGTTAACTCACAAGGGAATAAAAAAAAGAAGGATTCACCTGCGAACCATCCAAAATAACTGAGTTCTCTTCTTAAGGGAAGAGAATAATGCTTGAGCCGTGTCAACATGACAGCCAGAGAAGAAGGTGATGTGTAAACACCTTGACGCTGAACTTCTAGAGTCTGAACCGGCGAAATGCTACTTATGAGCAATCGGGGAAGAAAGCTTTAAGGCACTTTTCACTTTGGTTTCGTAAATGTTGCAGCCAGGTGTGAGCATGCTAAGCCTATTCGGCGAGGAGCTCTCTGCTTTCCTCTCAAGCCAAAATCAAAGCGGGAGTCGGGCAGGTGGGAAAGCTGGGATTGCGTGTGGAGCTTTTTAGATATCACATGCAAAAACCTTCCTTTTTGACAACAGGCGGAGAAGGAAACACACATCTGTTCTCTCCTCTGTCTTTTTCTCCTTCACACACACACATACACAGATTCAAATATTCCTAAAACAATAACTTGGTGGATGACATTGTTTTGCATGCCATTTGAGATTGTTTTCCTCCTGCCAAGTCAGACCGCCGTTTGACAATTTTCTATTTCCACATCTTTTTGTCTCCTCAATATTGACTTAGTTTTTTGTTTGTTTGTTTGTTTGTTTTGTTAACGCTGAAGCCACTGTCTTCTTTAACATGATGGCATTTCCATTATTGCGTTTTATCTTCCGTCTTCAGGAGCGGCGGCGCCGGAGACGGCGTGCCAGAAAGTGAGATCCTGGTGTGACTGGGAAGCCGAGATACTCCACCAGTCTGTGCGAATTTGAATGCCGGGCCGTAAGTGTTTCTCAGGATTTAAAATTAGATATATATACGCTGATGTTCTTAAATGTTTGTGATACATTTTGGATTTTCTCTAATCCTCATTAGTGCTTAGTGGAATAAGATCAAAACTAATCAGTAAAAAAAAAGTTAGTGTCTGCTAACTAAAAGTGTATATTTTTATCTTGTTTTGTTAATTTTCCACTTGCTGTACAATCTCTTGTTCTTCTTCTGACATAAAACCAGGTGAAATTGAATTTCAGAAAAAGAACATCTCATCAAGATATGAGCAAGGTGTTGGTGGTATGATGGTCTGTGGCTGCATCGCTGCTTTGGGACCTGGAAGACTTGGGGTACAAAACAGAACAACTATTTTTTTTTTCCAATGTATGAGCTCCCTGGGCAGTGAGGCCGACGACAACAACAAAACTGCTTGGTGAGAAACTCAAGGCTTTTTGCAGTGTGAACTTGGGCTTTCTTTTGAGTTAGTTCCAGGTCTCAAAGGAATCTAGTCAAAGGTTCAAGTGCAATCAAAGACTTGCTTACACTCTCGATGTTGGGTTCATATGTCCACCTGTACAAGGCAGTAACAACACTATGAATAAAAAGCTGAGAAAAGCCACTGCTTCTATGATATCCATAACTCACGAAGGTGGTAATATCATGATTGGGATTTGACTTGCTGTACCTTGGCGCGTCGTCGATGGCGCGTATTTCCACGTACGTACAACAACTTGACCCGACGGAGGATATTAATTCCCTTCTGTCGCACTGTATTCCAAGCATTTTGTTACCGCCAACTGGAAACGGTTCTCAATAATTTATCGCCAACTGATGGCTTGTCTGGGTTTTCCGCAGCCTAGTTTATGGAGACACCTTAGACTCAAGAGGTTTTCCTAGGTGAGAGAAAGGAAAGGGCAGTGGGAGGGCACGGGAATAAATAAGACGAGTAAGAGACGGTGTCAGTGAGACAGAGAGAATCTGTTGGAGGAGCAGAGAGAGGGAGGGAGAGACGGTGGGAAGGGAAGCAAGCTTCCTGTTCACAATGGAGCCCGGGGTCAATAAAGTGCAGTCTGGTTTGGAAGAACGAGCCCTGCTGCAATTTTTATGAGCGTTCCTTTCTGCCCAATCATAAGGGGGTGGCCTCTCATAACAGAAGGAAAACAACTAATCAATAATTGAGGAGAGCAGTAAACACCGTGTACACAGCAACTCTCCAAGGGAATTCCTTTGCTGTGAATATGTTTGCCTTGTGCATGCATGTCCATGCGTGCAGGTGTATTTATTTATTAATTTGTTTTCTTGCCCCATGCTGACAAACAAGGGATACTTTGTGGCATAATGCAAGAAAAGTACAGTCTGTCATACTCTGTGGTACTATTTGGGCATCAGTCATTCCTATCGATCCGGCTGCTTTTTAAAGAGAACCCTTACTTGTACGAATAGCGTATTTAAAATTAATGCCAGCTCATACAGAGAAGAGTCCCAACCCTGACTCTCTTGGCATTTGGAAAAGCAGCTTGTTTGAGGAGTCTCAGAGCAAAGCCAGCCGAACAATTACATCAAGATCCAAATGAAATCCTTTGTCTACTTCGACTTGATGCGTTAAAGTCAGTTTGATGCGTGACACATCATATGTAGCTCTCGGGGCTCCCTAAGAACCTCCAAGGGCATTTCTACATTCTGCAACTTGCACAAGCTTCCATGTGGTAATGCAACATCCTTTCTTTTCCACATAATTATTTTGAAACGGATTACATTGTGTGTGGAGCCGTTTAAGCAGGATTCCAACCAGACGAATGAGAGAAATTTTGTTCAATGACAGACTGCGGAGAGCTTTTCATGCATCCTACGTCTTTTGGTAAAGTTTCGTCTAGGTTTTATCTATGGCAGCCTGTTGAACTTTTAAAAAAATCCTTTTATAGTGTCTTTTAAAGATAATGCTTCAGAGAGAGCATTTGCCAAACTTTACCAATATTGAGCAACTAAAGGGTTGATGGTACTATCCCTCAAGGCATTTTATTTGGGGGGGGGGGGGGGACTATAGGATCATGCAGTGCTAGCAATGCTTCTGAAGTCTCTGTGGATCTTTTACAATCAAAGCAAAAGCTGTGCTTGGATTCTCAGCATAGAGTTGGACTCTCACTGGTTATGTGATGTTGGTGATCTGAAGTGGTGGTGGTGGATGGGAGCCTGTCCAGTTTGGGCTTCTCCCAATCCCGTTTTTGCTTTGTGCTGGCAGTGACTTTTTTTTTTTATTTCATATTGAACCAATAACTTTCAATATGTTTCAGAAATCTTTTAAATTCTCATTGTAAATCATTCAGCTGTGCCAAACACATGGTTGGACTTTGCACCGCCTTTGAGGTGCAACTCCTCCTCAGAGTTTCACTTTCAAAGACTTGGAGCTTCTCTCTCACAGAGCTGAGCAGCTAAACGACTTAGCTCCTTCAGACTAGCCCGCAGCAATTAGCAAATACCTGGTGTGCCCTTCTGATCTAAGATAGAGCACAACAGCTTTGCTTTTATTTAAAGTCAACCTTATATGAGGTTCAAGTTAATGATAAGTTGTAAGTTGCAGCCCTTTGATTCCCATGATTTCTTAACACATATATAGTATGAATAGAGTACATATTCTGCAATGGGACACTTTTGAGGGTCAGTTAATGTATGCTGGACAACACACAAGTCAAGAGAGATGAACTATTTTGGTCTTTCGTAGTCTTTTCTCTGAATTTAATTACAGATATAAATGATTAGTTCACTGCGATGCACCTGTGTATGGGTGGGCATGCACACAAAATGCTTGAAGGAACAAGCATTCTGGGTAACAACAGAGAAAAATGGGAGTATTTAATTTATGTGTCATTGTTTGTGGGCAAGCTATAAAAGCTGTGGAGCCACAGCTTCGGGTCAGCTGAGCTTTGTTGGGGGGGGATTAGTCGCCTATTGGCAAAGTCACAGCCTCAGAATCGCTTTACCCCCTCAGGCTTTTTTTTTTTTTTTTTTTTCCTGCTGCATTGCAGAAACAGACACAGCGGCAGCAAGACGGTGTGTCTGTTTTGTTCAGGACCATTTCCGCTTGCACCCCTCTTTCTCAGCTCAGCGGTGCTGGTTTAAAACGCCTGCTGTATGTAAAGCTCCCCAACTCCACGTTTGCTGTATTTGTTTTGCAGTTTACATCATGTGCTGAATAGATTTTCCAAAAAAAAAAAAAAAAAAAAAAAAAAATCCTTTTCTTGGAAAAAAAACGTTAAAAAAAGATTTTTCGGATTTTTGGACCCCCAAAAAGAAAAACCTCA